GGAGGGAGAGGCTGACCTGGCCTGCGTGCGCTAAGACAGGTGAGTCCTTTGCTCACAGCTGTAGTTTACTTAACTCTGGTTAATCATGCTGGCTGCTCCTGCCCTCCTCCAACCTGCTCCCAAACAGGTCTAGCCGGTGTCAAATCAAGCTGTTCCCTTGCTGGCGGGATGTAGGCCAGGTTCTCCCCAATCTGCCTTCAGGTCCCTTAAAACCACAATTAGCTGAGATAACAGGAAGAAGTCAAGCTCAGCCCATCCCTGCCTCTGCAACAGGTGTGAAGGTTGAGAGGATACAGGAACAGGAAACCTGCCACAGGGTGAGGGGAGGAGGGAACGGTTTGGCTCTGTAGGTGTGGGGGGTTTGTGTGTGTGGGGGGGGGGGAGGTTGGGCACACCAAAGGGTCCCTCTGGTTGGGTGCCAGGTTCTGTCTCTTGGAACCCAGGAATGCCCTGGGCCCAGGTTCATCCATCCATTGGCCATCCAACCCTGCCCAGAGTTCCACTGTTGCAAAATGGAGAACTCTCCTCGAATACCTGCCCCCGATGGAGAGAGTGCAGATTCGGCTCTCCTTTAAAACAACTTTGCCCAAGCCATTAGAAAAGCTAGAGGAAATCCAACTGGATAAGTCACAGCCTCAAACCACTTAGTCCTTCCTTAAGGGTGAGAGAAGCAGAGGCCTCCAAACTTTGGCCACTTTGAAGACTTGGGGACTTCAACTCCAGCCAGAATTCTCAAGCCAGGGATGCTTTTTAATCTCTTGCAAATCCTTTCCTCTGCAATCTCTTTTAATTTAGTTCTGTTCCATTCTGGGAGTTTGGAAGTCCACCAGTCTTAAAGTTGCCATGTTTGGGGACCTCCCTGGGTGGGAGGGGGTCAAACCATGGGGAGGGGGAAAGGGAGGGGGAAGTGGAGGGGTCTCTCTCTCCCCCCCTCCCCGAGTTTGGGCTGAGCCTGAAGGCCTGGGAAATAGCGAGGGGGCGTCTTACCTGCTTGCTGTACTTGCTGCTGGCCTGACAGCTGTACTCGGAGCAGTGGTCAGATCCGATGGAGATATTGTCTCCTGCCCCCACGAAGGTGTTCGCCGGCGGCAGGTCCTGCACAGCTTGGTGCTTTTTCCCGGCGGTGGGCGACTGGGGGTGAAGCTGCACGGTGGGCAAAGGCGAGCTGGATTTGTAATGCCGGGCCAAATCCGGGCTGCCCGGCCCGCCGTTGACCGACCGGTAACGGCTGAGAGCCGGGCTGTCGGCGGCGGAGAGTTTCTCGTGGACGCTGTCGTAGCGCTGCCCGTTGGGCTTGGAGGCTTCGACGGTGACGATGCTGCTGTAAAGGGGTTGCTTGCCTCCTCCTTTCTTGCCCTTGCGGTCCTTCTTGGGCTTCTTGGCCTTGTCGTGGGGCTGGGGCGTGAAGAAATCCTCGTGGTCTTTCTTGCCGGCCTCGTAGCCGCCGTGCTTGCCTTTGGCCCGGCAGTAGCGCGCCAGGACCACCACCAAAATCAGCAGCACCACGGCCATCACGCCGGCCACGACGCCCACCACGATGCTTAAGCGCTGCTTGCTCAGCTCGTAGCTGGGGTCGCCCGCGATGTCCCTGCCCAGCGGCGTGTGCAAGCTCCGCGCCACCTGGCTCTCCACCGCGCTGGTGTTGGCCAAGGTCTCGTTGACGAAGACGTGGAGCAGCGCCGTGGTGGCTTGAGCCGGCTGGCCGCTGTCGTTGATCTGCACCACCAGCCGGTGCAAGCCGTAGTGTTTGGGAGCCAGCTGGGCCACCAGCGAGACCACCCCGCTGGACGGGTCGATCTCGAAGAGTTTGAAAGGGTTGCCGCCCACCAGGCTGTAAGACAGCTCCGCGTTCTGGCCGGCGTCCGCGTCCCGCGCCTGCACGGTGGCCACCACGTGGCGCGGGGTGCTGGAAACCGGCAGCAGGTCGAAAGAGTTGTTGGCGGGCGAGGTGACGGCCGGCGCGTTGTCGTTCTCGTCCATGACGAAGAGCGAGACGGTGGCCGTGGCCGAGAGAGCCGGCTCGCCGCCGTCCACGGCTTTCACGCGGAAAGTGTAGCTGGTCTGCAGCTCGCGGTCGAAGGAGACGGTGGAGTAGATAGTGCCCGTGTCGTTCTCGATGGAGAAGATGCCCGGGTCGGCGGAGGAGGAGGAGGACCCGGCTTCCTGAGCGCCCGCTTGGATAGCCAAGGTGAGTTGAGCGTTGCGCCCCTTGTCGGCGTCCATCACGGTCACCATGCCCACCGGGCTGTTGGGCTGCAGGTTCTCCTTGACGTAGAAGGTGAAGACGTCCTGCATGAAGCGCGGCTCGTTGTCGTTGCGGTCGGCCACCCGCACCACCACCAGGGCCGAGCCTTGCAAGGAGGGCGCCCCTTTGTCGCGGGCCGTGACTTGGAACTGGTAGGTGTCCCGCTGCTCGCGATCCAGCGCCGCCTGCACGCGCACGTCGCCCGAATCCGGGTCGATCGTGAAGAGGCCCGCGGGCGCCTCGGCCGCCAGCGGCGAGGGCTCCAGCGAGTAAGCCAGCTCCGCGTTCTTGCCGCTGTCCGCGTCGGTGGCCAGCACGGTGGCCACCCGCTCGCCCGGGGCGTTGTTCTCCGGGAAGGGTACCTCCAAGACGGGCTGGCTGAAGACGGGCGGGTTGTCGTTGGTGTCGGCCACGCGGACGAGCAGCGAGTTGTTGCTGGACAGGCTGGGGCTGCCGGAGTCCACGGCCACGATGACCACGTTGTAATCCCGCAGGGCCTCGTAGTCCAGCGGCGCCGAGGTGTGCAGGAAGTACTTGCGCTTGTTCTGCGGCTCGCCCTCCCCCTCGCTGGCCGGCTTGAGCTGGAAGGGCACGTCGCCCACGACGGTGCAAGTCACCACGCCGTTCTCGCCTTCGTCGCGGTCCGAGACCTGCACCAGGGCGATGGGGGTGTCCACCAGCACGTCCTCGGCCACGCTGGCCACCCCGTCGCGCAGCGGGATGCGCCCGATCTTACGGATGTCGATGGTGGGCACGTTGTCGTTCTCGTCGCGGATGGTCAGCACCACGGTGGCCTTGTCGTTCTTGGGCGGCTGCCCGCGATCCCGGGCCATGACGGTGAAGCGCAGCTGGCTCACCTCTTCGCGGTCGATGCGGTGCAGGACGCTGAGCCAGCCCGACGCCTCGTCCAGGCGCAGCAGCCGCCTCACCGACTCGGTAGCCGCCCCGAAGACGTACTCGATCTGGCCGTTGACCCCGGCGTCGGCGTCGGCCGCCCGCAGCTGGAGGATCGGCGTGCCGGGACTGCTGTTCTCGGCCAAGTCGGCCTCGTAGACGCTCTTCTCGAAGCGGGGACTGTTGTCGTTCACGTCGGTGATCAGCACGCGGAGGATGGCCTGCGAGGACCGCGCCGGCTCGCCCCCGTCCCGCACCCGCAGGCTCAGCTCGTAAGAGTCCCTCTGCTCGCGGTCCAAAGCCCCTTTGACGATCAGCTGCGGCTGCTTCTCGCCGTCTGGCGTGTCGGCCACCTGCAGCTCGAAGACGCTACTCCGAGCCGGGCCGTCGGGCTCCTGTCTCCGCTTGCCTCCGGCGGGGTAGAGGGCCCCGTCGGTGGCCGAGGCCGGAGCCCCGGCGCCCCGCCTGCTGGCCTCCCCGCCGCCGGGCTCCTGCAGCAGTTCGTAACGGTCGATGCCGTTGCGCCCGAAGTCGCGGTCGGTGGCGGTGGGGAGCAAGTAGAGCGTCCCCACCGGCCGGTTCTCCTCGACGGTGAGGGTGAGTACCGGGGAAGGGAAGGTCGGTGTGTTGTCGTTGATGTCCAGGATGATCACCCGGCCTTCGAAGAGGTCGACCCAGCTCTGCGACGGCCCGATGACCGACACCTCGAAGTCCAGGAAACACTCGTTCTCGTCGAAGATCATTTGGCACTGCGGCAGCTTCTCGCGGTCGATGCGCCGCTCCGTGGTGCTCAGCTCGCCCGTCATGTTGTCGATCTTCAAGTATTCCGAGCCGGATTCCAAGCTGAACGTGACCTCGCCCGAGCCCGTGACGATGCCCAGGTCCGAAGCCACGTTCCCGATCCGGATATCGGCCGGCCCTTCCTCGGCCAAGCGGTACCTCAAGACTTGCTTGGCCGCCGCCAAGCTGATCCAAAACGGCGGCGGCAGCAGCAGCAGGAACCAGCAGCAGCAGCGGCAGCAGCGGCAGCAGGAGGAGCGCGATTGCACCAAACCCAGAAGCGCCGGCATCTTCCACATTTTTGCAGGGGAGGAAACAAAAAGCAAAACAAGAAGAAAAAAAAACCAACAACCCTCTACCCACCCACCCTTTCCCTCCCCCCGACCAAAAAAAAAAGGACCCCCGGCAGCCTCTTTGCGAGATAACCGCCAGTTCTTCGTGTCCCCCCTCACACCTTCCCAACCCCTTGTCGCTGTTTGGCTAGCCGAGAGCGAGAGAGAGCGAGAGATGGAGGAGAAAAAGATATCAAAAAATCAAAGCCTCGGTGAAGTTCAATTATAAAATCCTTTTGCCGGCTTCGGAGGAAAAAACTTCGCTTCCCATCCTCTTTGGTGCAATAGGTAAAAAAAAGAGGGGGGGGGAGAAGCCGGGGATGGCGCGCGCGTCTGTCCGTGTGTGTGTGTGTGTGTGTGTGTGAGGGGGGGGGAGAGAGAAAAAGCAGACCTCGGTTTGGCCGGAGGCTCTCCTTTCTTTCCCCCTCCTCGTCTCCCCTTCTCCTGCCTTCTGCAGTTGCTCTCTCCTCACAGTTCACGGGCCAAATGTGTGGCTGGCTTTTTTCAAAAAAGCTGCATCTCCGCAGATAGGTTGGGGAGGAATTCCGCCTCTTCCTCCTCCTCCTTCGCCTTCTCCTCCTCCTCCTTTCCTCCTCCTCCTCCTCTCCTGCTCCTCCTCCTTCTTCCAACAGCGCTGGAATCACTTTGCAAGGTTGGCGAGAAAAAAAAAAAAAATAAGCCAGAGGAACAACAGCAGGGAAAGATCAGATCCGTTTCCCTCCTCTACCCGCCTACTCTCGGGCAGCTAAAACCGCCCATCTCTCTTTCTCTCTCCTCTTCCCTAGTTCAGTTCACTTCACTCTCTTTCTCTCTCTCTCTCTCTCGGTCTGTCTCCCGGCTTGGCTCGCTCACTCCGAGCCGACGTTCTCCGCCGCGGCGTTCGCTCTCGTCTCTCCGCCGCGGCGGGGGGGGGGGGGGGGGGGGGGGGGGGGGGGGGTTTGTAGGGTGCGGGCGGGGGACGTTCAAATGCTTCATTCAAAGAGCGCTGGTGTCCGGCGGAAAAGGGAGGCGGGAGGAAGCAGAAACCCCAAATCTCTCTCTCTCTCTCTCTCTCCCTCTCTCTCTCTCCCTGCCCCCCTCTCTCTTTCCGCTAGATAATGGTACGTGATTTTCTCTTTCTTTCTTTTTTAAGCCTCCGGAAAACCCAAGCAAATACACCGCCTCCGGGGACTGACAGCTGAATCTATTTATATGTATTTGGGGAGAGAGTGAGGCGTTCTCGGTTTACGGAGCAGCTCTCCCGGAGCAATCCTGCTTTTCGGTCCGTTCCCCCCCCCCCCCCCCCCCCCCAAAAAAACCCGATCCCCCCCCCACCCCAGTTCGGGGGGGGCGTTTCTGAGGCTGAAACTCCTGCAGGTTCGTTCTTTTTCTTCAAAGAAAACGAGGCGAGGGAGAAGAGAAGAGGGGGAGGGACACCCCACAAACAGCCCACACAACTCTGCGCAAGGTCATTAGTCAAAAAGCGAGACGCTGCCCCCCCCCCCCCCCCCCCCCCCCCCCAAAAAAAAGCCGCCAGATATTCGTCCGTAAATGGAGCTGGAAAGGAGGCGGGGGGCGGGGGGTTGGGAAATTAAAATAAAAAAGGTGGATTTCTCTTCGTCCTGCTCGATCAGGCGTTCCAACTTTGCTCTTGCATCCGCAGCTTGCGTGTGCGAGCGCGCTTGCGTGTGTGTGTTTGCGTGCGTGTGTGTGTGTGTTTTTCCTCTCTTACCTGCGTTGTGCTCGGAAGGCTCGGAAGCTGCAGCGCCGGCAGAGCGATTCACACAGCCGCGGCTGCAGGCTCCCTGGCTAAACGCCGCTTCTTCCTTCCCGTCCCAATGCAGGTAAAAAAAAAAAAGAAGAAGAACGGCGCTCAAGTTCACTTTCTCGCCCTCCCTTCCCTCCCCCACTCCCGTGCAAAGTCTAGGGCGGTGGGGGGTGCGTGCCACCAAGGTGATTATCTGGGAACAACCTTCCCCTCCCGCTCCCCTTTCTAACTTCTTTAATATTAGCGAATAATAGCGAATAAGGTTGGGAGACAATCGACCGGGGTGGGGGGGGAGGAAGGAGGATGAGACCGAAGCTGCTTCCCACGCGAAAGGCCACCACTGGTGTTTAATTGCATCCGTAATTATGAAATTGGGGGGGGAGGGGAGAGAGAAGGAGGGCATAAACCCCCAAAATCATTGAGGTCCGAAAGGTTGTGACGGTTGGCTTTGTGGCGGGCGGGATGTGTCATAACCCAGGCAGAGTCTTAGTTGTGAATGGAAAAGGCAGCCGAGTCCATAGTTCCCCTTCTCCGCAATTGTGTAGGTTTGTCGAGCGAGCCTCCTCCGTTCGCCCCAACCGGCTCGTCTCGCTCAAGTGCGGCTGGTTGGTGCAGGGAGCTCAGGCCCGCCTCTCCCTCCCTCCCCGTCTCTCCTAAAAAAAAAAAAAAAAACCACTCTCACACGAACGCAGACGCACACAGAGAGAGGGAGCACAGTGCGATTGAGGGCTTCGCCATGGGCCGCGGATGGAAGGTGGAGGGGAGGAAGGGAGGGAAGGAAGGAAAGAAGAAGGAAGGAAAGAGGGAAGGGAGGGAGGAAGGGAAGGAAAGAAGAAGGAAGGGAAGGAAGGAAAGAAGAAGGAAGGAGGGAAGGGAAAGAGAAGGAAGGAGGGGGGAAGGGAGGAAGGAAGG